AAAACCCCTGGGGGGCTGGAAAGGGGATTTGGGGTTGATTTGGGGTGGGAAATGTGATTTGGAATTTATTTGGAGTTTATTTGGCGTGGGGCAGCTCCAGGTGCAATGTCTTCAGAGACCCTGGGTACAATGCTGGGAAAAATTCCAAAAACCACTGGGGAACTCGAAAAACACCTTGGGAAACCCAAAAAATGGGATCTGGGGTGAGGATTTGGGGTGGAAAAAGGAGATTTTGGGATGGAAAAGGAGATTTTGAGTGGGAAAAGGAGATTTTGGGTGGGAAAAGGAGGTTTTGGGGTGGGAATTGGGGGTTCAGGATGGGGAAGCATTTTGAGCGGGAAAAGAGAATTTGGGGTTCAAAAATGAGACTTTGGGGTGGAAAAAGGAGATTTAGGGTGGGGAAAAAGGATTTGAGGTTGAAAAGGATATTTTGGGGTGGGAAAAGGGGATTTGGAGTGAGAAAAGGAGATTTGGGATGCACAAAGGAGGATCTGGGGTGGGAAAAGGGAATTTGGCGTGGGGAATTGGGGTGGCAAAGGGAGATTTTGGGGTGGGAAAAGGGATTTGGGGTGGGCAAAGGATTTGGGGTGGAAAGATATTTTGGGGTTGGAAAAACATGGATTTGAAATAAAAAAAGGCAGGTTTGGGATGAGCTGAACTTACCTGGGGGAGTGGGGGCAGGTGGGAGATTTGGGGCAGGGTCGGGACCATTTTGGGGGATTTTGGGGTATTTTAATGGGATTTGGGGGCAGTTTTGTGGGATTTGGGGGCAGTTTTCTGGGATTTCTGGTGTTTTGGGGTGGTTTTGAGCAACTTTCGAGTATTTAGGGGCAGCTTTGAGGGATTTTGGAGTGGTTTAGACAGATTTCAGGGCGTTTTTATGGGATTTTAGGCTGTTTCTATGAGATTTGAGGGCAGCTTGACAGGATTTGGGGTGTTTTGAGGCAGCTATGGGGTATTCAGGGGTGTTTTTGAAATGTTTCTCTGGGATTCTGGGGTATTCCAAACCCGTTTTTTCTGGGTTTGGGGGTGTTTGTGCAGGGTTTGGGGTCACTTTTTGGCGAAGGAGATCTTCATGGCGTTGCTCTGGGTGATCTTGAAGCCCTGCAGGGCCTCGCGGGCGGCGCCTGCCTGCACCTCAGTGTCGAACTCCACGAAGGCAATGTCGTGGCGCCCGGGCACCAGGCGCACCTCCTTGAACCCCGGGAATCTGGAGAGGGGAACGGGGTCAGAGACAGCCCCAGAAACGTGGGAATGGTACCCCAAAAATACAAGAATGGCACCCCAGAAATTTGAGAATGGTCCCACAAAAACTGAGGAATGTTCCTCAAAATTCAGAAACATTCCCCCCAAAAACCCAGGAATGTTGTCCCAAAAACTCAGGAATGGTCTCCAAAAACCCGGGAATGGTCCCCCCAAAAATTCTGCAAATGTTCCCCAAAAATTCAGGAATGTTTTTCAAAAAATCCATTGATGTTGCCCCAAAATACCCCAGAATGGTGCCTCCAAAAGCTGGGAATGGTCCCCAGAAAACCTAGGAAAGTTCCCCCAAAAATTCAGAAACATTCCCCTAAAAAACCCAGGAATGGTCCCCAAAAACCAGTGAATATTCCTCCCGAAATCTGGGAATGATCGCCCCAAAAACCCCAGGAATGTTCCCCCAAAACCTGGGAATGTTCCCCCAAAAATTCAGGAATGTTCCTCAAAAAGCCGCAAATGTTCCCCCCAAAAAACCCAGCTCCCCCTAAAAAATTCAAGAATGTTCCTCCAAAAAGACCCAGGAATGTTCCCCCCAAAAATTCAGGACTGTTCCTCCAAAACAAGCTGGGAATGGTTCCCCCAAAAACCCAGGAGTGGTCTCCCCCCAAAAAATCTAGGAATGGTCCCCAAAAAACTTGGGAATGTTCCCTCAAGAATTCAGAAATATTACCCGAAAATCCAGAAATTCCCATCCCCCAATCCAGAAACATTCCTCCAAAAATCTAAACCACCCCAAAAATCCCAATAATTCCCACAAAATCCCGGTATTTCCCCAAAAACCTGCCGCCCTCCCCCCTCTCAGCTCCCCCAGCCCCCCGGAATTCCCGAATTCCCAGATTTCCCCGGCTCTCACTGGTTGAAGAGCATGGACAGCATCAGCTCGTTGGTCTCCTCAGGGAGGTTGGTCAGGAACAGGATGTGGTTTGGGGGGTTCTCCGACAGCTGCAGAAGAATACAGAAAAAATCAGCCAAAATCAGACAAAATGGGCTCATAAACACACAAAACCAGACAAAATCAGACAGAAACAGACAAAATCAGCCAAAATAGTTTCAAAACCATACAAAATCAGACAAAATTGGCTCAGAAACAGACAAAATCAGCAAAAATCAGCCCAAAATCAGGTCAAAACCATACAAAATCAGACAAAATCAGCCCAAATCAGCCAAAAAAACATCCAAAAATCAGCTCAAAACCAGACACAATCAGCCGAATCAGCCAAAAGCAGCCCAAAGTTCCACTGGATACACACCAAAACATTGCCCCAAAATCTCACAAAAATACCCCAATATCCCCCCAAATCTGCAAAAAACCTGAAAATCCTCTGGAGATGGGGCCATTCTGGGGGGATCCCAGGACTTGGGGCCATTCCTGGGGGTGGGATCATGCTCGGGGTGGATGTGACCCCATTAATCCCATCAACTACCCAGAAAACCCGCATCAATCCCCCATTAACCCCACAAATCCCCTATCAACCCCATCAATCCCCCATTACCCCCACCAATTCCCCATCAATCCCCCAATAACCCCACCAGTCCCCTATAGCTCAGGTTATGGGGTCACTCACAGGCTGTGGGGTGGGCATTGGGGCCATGCCGGGATTTGGGGCCATTCCCGGGGGGATGCCGGGATTTGGGGCCATTCCAGGGGGTGGGATCATGCCCGGGGGGGGGATGTAGGGCGGTTGCCCCCCCAGGTGTGGCAGCATTCGGGGCGGCTGCGCCAGCGGTGGCATTCCCTGAGGAGAGACCCCAAAACCAGCAAATTAGTCCAAAGAACAGACAGAACCCCAAAGTTACCCCAAAACCACGAAATTAGCCCAAAGGAACAAAGAAAATCTCAAATGATCCCAAAACACCCCAGATTACCCCAAAACCAGCCTAAATTACCCCAAAAACAACCCAAATTATCCCCAAAACACCCCAGATTATCCCAAAGCATAGAGAGAACCCCAAATTACCCCAAAAACACAGAGAGAACCCAGAATGATCCCAAAAACATCCCATATTATCCTGAAGAACAGACAGAATCCCAAATGACCCCAAAAACACCCCAAGTTATCCCAAAGGCACAGACAGAACCCCAAATTACCCAAAAGGCACAGAACCCCAAATTATCCGATCCCAAATCCCATGTGACTCCATAACTGACCCCAAATCCCATCACTCACCCCAAACCCCATCACTGACCCCAAATCCCATAGCTGACCCCATAACTCACAGGCACTGTGCCCTGTGCCCCCTGTGTCCCTGTGCCCTTTTTGGGGCCGGGGGTGTCCCCTGTGCCCTTGGCCTTGCGCTTGTCCCGTTTGCGTTCCCGTTCTCGGTCCCGCTCCCGATCCCGTTCCCGCTCCACAAACGTTCCCTTCATCTTGGCAATGATGTCCGAGTCTGTCTTGGCGTACTGGATCCTCTGCAACACAAATCCCAAATTCTGGGTGTTTTGGGGGCTTTTTTTGGGGTGCGTGAGGGGATTTGGGGCATTTCCAGGAGCAATATTGGGGTTTTCTCATGCATTTTGGGACGTTCCAGAGGGATTTCTGGGGGATTCAGGGAGTTCCAAGAGGGATTTTGGTGTTTTCTGAGGGATTTTGAGGGGGATTTTTGGGGTTTTCTGAGGGATTTCGGGCATTTCCAGGAAGGATTTGAGGGAGTTCCAGGAGGCATTTTGGGATTTTCTGGGGGATTTTGGGGTTTCTGAGGGATTTCTGGGGGATCTAGGGAATTTCCAGCAGGGATTTCAGGGAGTTCTAAGAGGGATTTTTGAGATTTCCAGGAGACATTTTGGGGTTTGAGGCATTTTGAGGATTTTGGGGTTTCTGAGAGATTTGGCATTTTCTGAGGGGTTTCTGAGGGATTTGGGGAAATTCAGGAGGGATTTAGGAATTTCAGAGAGATTTAGGGGGGATTTGGGGGATTTCCAGCAGGGATTTCAGGGAAGAGAGATTTTTTGGGGTTTCTGACAGACTTGGGGGATTTCCAGGAGGCATTTTGGGGTTTTCTCATGGGATTTTGAGGGGGATTTTTGGGTTTTCTGAGGGATTTGGGGTTTCCCAAGGGATTTCTGGGGGATCTGGGGGATTTCCAGCAGGAATTTCAGAGAGCTTCCAGAGGGATTTCAGGCATTTCCAGGAGGCACTTTGGGGTTTCTGAGAGATATGGGATTTTCTGAAGGATTTTAAGGGGGATTTTGGTGTTTCCAAGGGATTTCTGGGAGTTCCAGGAGGCATTTTGAAGTTTTCCAGCAGGGATTTGGGGTTTTCTGAAGGATTTGGGGAGGTTCCAGAGGGAATTTTGGCGTTTCTGAGGGATTTAGGGTGGATTTGGGGGATTTCCGGAAGTTATTTTGAGGCTTCTGAGGGATTTGGGGGTTTCAGAGGGATTTCTGAGGGATTTCCAGCAGGGATTTTGGGGTTTCTGAGGGATTTAGTGGGGATTTGGGGGATTTCTAGAAGGGATTTCAGGGAGCTCCAAGAGGCATTTTGGAGTTTCCAAGAGACTTGGGGAGGTTCCACAGAAGATTTGGTGGGGGAATTTTGAGGTTTTCTGAGGGATTTTGAGGAGCATCGGGGGGGATTTCCAGAAGGGATTTGGGGTTTTCTGAGGGATCTGGGGGAGGATTTGGGAATTTCTGGGGGGTTTGGGGCATTTCCAGGAGGCATTTTGGGGTTTTCCAAGGGATATCTGGGGGGTTTCCAGCAGGGATTCGGTGGAGTTCCAGGAGGAACTCTGGGGTTTTCCAGCAGATTTTAGGAGGTTCCAGAGGCAGTTAAGGGGGGTTTGGGGGATATTTGAGGCTGCATTTTGGGTTTTTTTCCTAGGAATTCAGGAATTTTCCCCAGAATTTCACGTTTTTTTTTCCCAGAATTCCAGGGTTTTTTTCCACAAAATTCCATTTTTTTTTACAAGTCCTGGTATTTTCCCCTGAATCTGTGTCTCACCGCGGGCTTGTTGTAAAGGGGAAGCTTTGGGGTTATTCCCAGTTTTATTTGAGAGTGATTTTGGTTTTGGTTTTTTTTTTTTCCCTGCAGGAATTCAGGTTTTCTCTCAAAATTTGGGTTTTTTTCCCAAATTTGGGGATTTTTTTCCCAAAATCCTGGATTTTTCTCCCAAATTTCTCTCTCACCATGGGTTTGTCGTAGAAGGGGAAGCCCTGCATGGAGCGCAGGGCATTGGTGGCACTGCTCATCTCCTTGAAGATGACGAAGGCCTGGCCCCGCATGCGGAGACTGCGCGACACCAAAATGTCCAAAATCTGCCCAAACTGGGAGAAAATGGCGTACAGGGACTTCTTCAGCTCTGGGGACACAGAGGGACAGGTGACAATGGGGACAGCACAGGGACAATGGCGACAGGGGACAATGAAGACACACAAGGACAATGGGGACAGTGACAAAATGTCCAAAACCTGCCCAAATTGGGAGAAAATGGCATATAGGGACTTCTTCAGCTCTGGGGAAACACAGGGACAGGTGACAATGGGGACAGGGTATAATGGGGACAGCACAGGGACAATGAGGACAGGTGATCATGGGGACAGGGACAGCTCCAGCTCTGGGGACAGTGACAAGTTTAGGTGACAATGGGGACAGACACACAGACAGGTGACAATGGGGACAGACCCCCCAGCCCCCCCTCACCATCCTTCTTGATCTTCTCGTTGAGGTTGTTGATGTAGATGGTGTGGTTGGGGCAGGGCTCCTGCACCACCATGGCCGCGACCTCTGTGGGGACAGGGACCCTCTGTGGGGACAGGGACCCTCTGTGGGGACGGGGGGAATAGGGACAGGGACCCTCTGTGGGGAC